CTGGCATCATTTACCTGAAGTCCTATTAACCACAGGTCATTTGGGGGATTTTAAAAAAATGACAGATATTTGAAGGCCATATGTGTATATGTGTGTGTGTGTGTGTGTGTTTTGGTTTGGGTTTTTTTTTTTTTTTTTTTTTTTTTTTTTTTGGTACTGGGGATCAAACTCAGGACCCTGTGCTTGCAAGGCTGGCAGTGGAACCACTGAGCTAAATCCCCTGTCTTAAGGCTACATATTTTAAAGCAAATGTCTAAGTTGACTTCTGTGTTACAAAAATAACTTCAAAAATAAACACTTAGTTTGACTTAATTGTGGCAAAATGAATACTATTAACTACAGGATGACGAACATTTACAAATCTTGTGAACCTGCGCAAGTCACATCTTCTCGGATCCGATTTTTAAAAATTTTCTGGCAAACCCTTCCCTCAATAGCCAGGAAGAACTATCAGGACAGAAGGAGCATGAGTGTAGACTCTGGATGACAAATTTGGTGACAGATCTGAGACAGTTAAGACACTGGATTGAAGATCTCTCCAGTAAGACAGGTTTCTTCTCCACCCTGGGCCAACCTTCAAGCCCGGTCCATTAAGTGACATTGCCGAGGTCCTTGCCTGCCCCTCAGCCCATCTCTCCTTGTTTTTCTGAAAATTGGTACACATCTCCCAACACTACCCAGTGTGTAATGGCTATGAGTCAAGAATACCTGAATATATCTTGTTTATCATCCTAGGGCCGTGCAGAGCTAGGATCTTCCCCTTTCAAGAATGCTTTTGTCTCTGTTCCCAAGGACTAGTGACAGAATTCAAGCCAGATGGGCCTAACTTCAGGTCGGATTTCTGTTTGCGGGGTGATTCCCCTCAAACGCTGCAGCACCTACTTCACTGGAAAGAAAGGGGCCACCGTCTAATGCGCCGATCTCCTTTCAGAGTTCACTGTCTCTGGAAACCAGGTCTCGTAAAACCCCCATAAACTCAGTGGTGTTGGTAGGCAGGCAGGCTACTCAAAGGAGGCACTAGGAGCCCTACGTGCGGAAGTGACACCAAGAAATCCAGTAAGAATAACTGCCACAGAAAACTGGATGTGCATATACATCAGTTATTTCTTCAGGAATCGGGAGGACCGCGAATGCCGTGGGACGCTGAATGTCAGACGAGAGGACCAGGAAGAAGCCTTTCCGTCAGTGCCACTGCCACCCAAAGCTACCCGCCGGCCAAGCTCTCAAACGGACTCCCGGCCACGAGTAGGCACCCATCAGGCCCTGCGCCGCGCGGCGCCTCCTGGGAAAGCATCGCAACAACCTCGCCCACTCCAGGATGCCCTCCGGCCAGCCAGGTCCCAGGCTCTGTGCGCCCCTCCGCGACGTCTGCTCTCACCGTCCTTGCCCCAGGTCACCTCCCTTCACCAATTACCAACCTGGGACAGAGTACAACCCAGAGCTCGCGAAGTAGCGGGCAGAGCGCCAATTTCCAGTTATTCAGTCGGGGGGAAGGCCGCGCATGCGCGGAAGCCCACTTCCCGCGCTTGTGTGGGTGACGTCACGAGGAGACTACATTTCCCAAGAGACCCGCGGTCCCGCGTGCTCCAGGGCGGCGGTCGGGCTGCGTACGTGGCCCTCCCGGTGGAGAGGACTCCTGACCTGTTACTGCGCCTCGCAGAAATTGGCATCGTCCCTGAATCCTGGTTTGATGGTCCAGGGCATTATCGGAGTAGTGGGGAAGTTCGAACAAGAGAGAGTAGTGCTTTAATTTTTTTAGTCCGGCTAGACAGTATTGCAGTTATAAAATCCTTTGTTTCATTTAAATGTGTTAAGAAACAGGAAGTTAATGTAAATGATATATTAAAAAGGTGTTCATTGTCACCCACTAGAATAATTTGGACATCATTGGACTGAAGCTTAGTGGGATAAACCTCGAGGTAAATTTTGGCCTGAAACGCCAGGGGCTGCCATAATCCTTGGGCCGGTTTACACGCCACTCTGAAAATTATTTGCTCAGACTCTCAGCCCTCTACCAGGCCATTGCCTGATCTTTTGTTAGTTGTTTTTTCTTTTGGTTAGACCCAAACTTTGCCTCTCCTTCCATAGTTTAGGCTGCAAAATAGACAAGTTCTGCCAGGGGTGTCCTTAGAACTGGCACCACTGCTCTTTGGATATAGTGGTGCATGCCTGTAATCCAGCACTTAGGGAGGCAGAGGCAGGATTTCAAGTTCAAGCCCCGCTTGGGAAACTTAGCAGTTTAGTGAGGCCCTGTCCAAAAAAAAAAAAAACCAAAAACAACAACAACAAAAAAAAACGTTTGGGGATGTAGCTCAGTATGAAGGCTCTCCAGTCAATCCCAAATACCACCAAAAACAAACTCATTAATACAGTTTACTCTAGGTCAGAGGTTCCCACCCCCTGGGCCACCAGTCCCTCTGTGGCTCTTAAGATGTGGGGTGCACAGCAGGCAAAGGAGGCTTCATCCATCCATATTTATGCTGCTCCCCACCGCTGGTCGTATCAGCAGAGGTGTCCAGCTCTCAGGAACATGCTTTGCTGTGCATAGTGCGCGTCAGGAATCCAGGCTGTGTTTCTTCCAGGAACCTAATGCCAGACGATCTGAGGGGCCCAGGCATCACTGGCACGGGCAGGTTCTGCAAACCTAGACGTCGTCAGAGATGTTCCAGGGCAGACTCAGATGAGCACCTGCCAGTGGATGGCAGCAGTTGGGTGCAGACCTTCCAGTGCCAGTGAGCTGTGTCTAGTGGCAGGTTGTGAGCCAGGACCTGACACTCATTTCAGGGTGTGCATGGCTGCTCATTACTCCTTTGGCAGCTTCCATCTTTACCTTTACCTGTATTTGTCTCATTCTGGTTTAGTCCACGAGCCCCCCCCACTGCCAAAAAGAGTGAAAGACCCCATGAGACAGCAGAAGACAGATTCACAACAAAGTCAGCTGCATAAAATAGTAACCCTGCTTAAATTATGTGCTCAGTGCAACAGGTGACTGACATGTTCCAAGCCTGCTCTGCCTACTATCCCTCTAAGCAGGGTAAATCCCACTTGCACAGATTCTAGTTTGCTAGCTAGTATTTGGTACAGGCTTAAGTTTTTCTTTTGTTTCTGTGTATAGCAATGTTGCTCTGTGATTTGTTACTGCAGTGCTTTGGCTAGATTTTAGGATAAGGGTAATACCTCATTAAATGAATTGGACAATGTAACTTCCTCTGGGAAATGTTTTGTGAAAGGTTGGAATTCATATATCAGTTCAAGCAGAAGCATAACACTGCATTACAAGAAAGTACAAATCTCAAGCAGGCATGGTGGTGCACACCTGTAACCCCAATGAACTAGGAGGCTGAGGCAGGACTGCAACGTCCAGCCCCATCTGGACAGCTTAGTGAGGCTGTCTCAGAAGCAAAGAGAGGCAGGGATATAGATCATTGTGAAGGCCTTGGGTTCAATCTCTGGTACCCAAACACAAAAACAAAACAAAAAGAACTTTTATTGGGTAGGGGTAGAGGGGTCTTGATAATGAAAAACACATGGGTGCCCAGGAGCCCCTGATGCAGCTTGCTGTCCACCCAGACATGATGCAGGCGGTGTGGGGTCCCAGGCTGTCTACAGCCCCAGGACCCATGCTGGCGCCCCAGGAATGGGTCCCGGTGTCACCACCTGGGGCCACTTTGGGTAGGTGTGGTGCTATGTCCCCTTGACAGCCCTGGAAGCTCAGAATGTGAGTTGACTTGAACACAGTCACTGCAGATCCCGCTGTGGGGGCCCAGGGGGTGGCCTAGAGCCCAGGATGGGTGTCCTTACGTGAGGGAGCTGGAGGCAGCCACACACAGGCAGCAGAGGAGGCTGGTGTGGCTGCCCCCCCCATGGGCACTCCTGCCGAGGACAGCACCCATGCCTCCCTCACACCCTGACAGACTGAGAGGCCACCTCTGTGTGGGAGCTGCACCTACCCTAGGGGACACGCTGGCATGGGATGCTGACACCAGAGTGGGACACACTAGACATGGACCCTTCTGGCTGAGCTCCAGGTTCCCAGAGTTGGGGCCTTAAATGCCCTCAGATGACACGTTGGCTGCTGCCCCACTCACATTTAGCAAGGCCCTCCAGGATGCAAAGATGACCTGGGCCTGGAGTGCAAGAGCTTAAAATGTGAGCTTCCGCTGGGTGTGGTAGTGCATGCTTGTCCTCCCACCACTCTGGGAGGCTGAAGCAGGAGGATCCCAAGTTTTGAGCCCAGCGTGGACAACTTAAGACTGTTTCAAAAAAAAAAAAAAAAAAA